GCCATGTCCCTTCACCAGATCCCAGCTCCAGATGTTGCATATAGAATTTGAAGTAATTAATAAATCAGTTATATTAGAGACTGGAAGAGTCATTCAGAGCTGCAGAATAAAACCTGTCCCTGAGGACCAAGGCCCTCACGCTGATTAGGTACCTTCCTGACCCTGGCCTGAAATGGGCTGAAGCATCTCATGGCATAAGGCTGGTGGCCACAGGGTACGACTTAAACTAGAGCAGGAAAAACTGCACTGCCCAGGGACATGCAGGGTCCCCATCTAGTCTCACCTTGTCTGTCTTGTTGCTATGTAGGAATTTTCCAAACAGGCATCTGGATTTGGTTTTCTGTCCTTCATAAAGGAGCCATTTAGGAGAGAGAGTCTCTCTCCCATGAAACAGTCAGAGGGGCTGCACACTTCTGGAAGGAGCCAGAGATAAAGCTAGGATGAAGTACACAGGATTGAGGACAGATATTTGAAATGAAATGGATTTGCGCTTGGAGAGGAGATGAACCTGACTATTGAAAAAATGAAGGCTTGGTAAAGCATTGTCCCATCAGTGATGAAATCTGAACATTTGACTCTAGCTGTACATATGCACGCACCAATCCTCACACCCAGATGAGTTTTCTGTGACTTGGGAATGAGGAAGAGTCAACATCTCATTGAAATGTATGCAGCGTGTTGCAATTGTCAATCTGAGTGCCAGACAAGATGTGTGGAAATCACAGATCATCTCAAACCCAGCACAGGCAGGTAGTTAGCAGACAAACATAGGGTCAAGGCTATCACATTTTCAGGAATTCACTGATAGAAGTGAATGTGCACACATTATTTGTCCAACATGTGTGAGAAAGAACAGAAAGCAAGAGCTGCATAGTTAGACATTCAAAGAAGTTTCATCCAAAACCCTCAAGAATCCCCAGACCCACTGTGCAGCTACAGAGACTTTATCACAAATATACAGCAAGTCCAGCATTTTCTGAAAGTGTCATATTCGTGGAATACGGTACACCGCCAAAGCCTGTGCTCTGGGCCTTGATAGCATTACCAGACAGAGAAATCCTGGACAAACCTAAGAAATTATCATACTGCATGCAGAAATAATCTCCAGCAGGAAAAGAGAATGTGTTCAAGAAATCCAGGATACATGATAGCCCCTCAGACTTGACACTGTTCAGTCAGACTAAATCAAACACATTTCAGTCCCCAATAATTTTTTTTTCTGGGTATGCAGCAAGAGAAGCTGGGTAAGACTGGGTTACTTCTTGTCAGTGCATCAACTATGGAAAGTCACACTGAGACAAACTCAGCTTGAAGTGCCAATGGCGTGGTCCCACTGTCTTGATGCCCCCTCTTAAGCCACATGAGAAGCATGCTGAAGCCCAGCGAATGAAGCTTTATTGGAGCTGATGCGGTACGACAGAACATATTTCAGCTGCTCAAGTGGCTGTATGAAATGTGACAAAGTAGCATCAAAACCTGATTTTCTCACCAAAGTCTGACAAATAGTTCATGCAGCTGGAGCAGTCCTGGTAAATCCACATTAGCAGGGATAACACTGCTATTCAGAACTGAGGTACATGTCAAAAATCCATTTCTCAGTAGCTGTTAAGACAAATCAGACCAGGGAATTAATACAGTAGTTATATATGTGAAAACCTCACTTCAAGCTGGACCAGGGCATATTATAACACCCTCAGCTCAGCCTGAATCTCTGATTTTGTCAACTAAGCGGAAGAGAATACTTACTGCACTGACAAAATGGTATCATCTTAATTTTCTGCTTTTGCAAGGTGTCTAACCTTTCTAGTTTCATGGTCCTGTAACGTTTCTAAAGGAGAATAAAATACTGAAGTATGATTCTGTACCATTGACAATTCAGGGTCTGACCCACTGCTAAATCGCATTGGCAGAGTTGAAAGGACGGTTAGAGCATCGTGAGTGTTATTTCAGGTTAGATCATTTAAAAAGCATGACTTAAATCTTTCAAAACACCTAAGACTGGTTTAAAAATCATGAGGTTTTAAAAAAAAAATCATTGTGGGCACTTATTTTCCATATGTTTTAGAGCTTAGGTTAAACTGCTCATAGTTTGAAGATTTCCTTAGTAATTTGGAAGAGAAGAGCCAAATATACCTTTTTGAATGAACACATTAAATTCTCATAGATTCACCTGATGCTTAAAATGGGAAGTTTTAAGAAGGGGAAAAAAAGAGAACACTGAAATGTTTCTAATACAATTGCAACATGTGGAAGAATGAAATCCAGTTTGCCCAATTTTATCTTTTATCCTGCAGGAAAAGGATTCCCAAAGCTCGGTTTGCAAAGGCCCAATCAGTCATGTGGTGCTGATATTTTTGTTTCCAACTGAGAAAATCACAACAGATGATAAATGGAGAAAAGAAATAACATTTAACTGCTTTTTTTTTTTTTTTTCTCTCCAGTAAGAGCAAAAGAAACTAAAATATTGTAGCTATTTTCCTCTTCCATCTTCCATTAGTAATTGCTATGATGGTTCATGACCACTTCAGGTGTGATCCCTCCCATCTGAGTATGAACACCTACAACTGCAGATTTCAGTTCTGTTTGTCTCAGACAGCTAGGACTGTCCTGGTCTCCTTTACCAAACAGCTCCACTAAGGAGATTGTCTGAGCTAAAGGCACTTTGTAGCCAAGGTCATATCCTAGCAAAGTTAGGCTAAGCAATTAGTATAAAACAAAGGAGATGAAAAAACAGAAAGACAAGTTCTTTCAGGTCTCAGAGCTGACTGGAGGATATTACAAGACGTTAGCTGGAATGGAGGCGGGGATTATTAGAAGTTCAATGTTGATTGGATTCTTCAAATATATACTGACTTGATAGCACTAAGCAAATAGTTCGTGCTTGTTGAGGATTAGATTACGTAAAAGCAGATAAGACTTATTTTTAAAAAATAATCACAAAGCTGTATGTACTCCCCTGATGTCAACTAGCTACCCAGCCCATGGTTCAAAAAAAAGGTTTCTGTTTCATGCTCACAGTATACTTACTGCACAGGAGCAGGAGGAACTACATCCTGCTGAAGCTTGCTTCCTGATGTAGGTACTTGTATGTGTGATCACTCCCAACCATTCCTAATGCCCTAGTCAACCTCCTTCTGGTGTGGAGATGGCCAAATTCTCTAAATACAGACAGCTTAGTACTCTTTTATATCTTACCAGGTTTTCAGCCACTCATTAGATTTGGCATCATTCTCTGGGAAAACAACTGTATCAATATTTTATGTGGGCTTTCCCCCTTTCCTCTATCTCTGTCATTCTTTCTTGATCCACTGATCCTTGCTTTCCAGAGGACTTTTGCCTTTCTTTTCTTTCAGTAATTCTGAGTGTGCAGCCACGCAGGTTTAATTTCCACACTGTGTTGGAATGATCACAATGAAAATTGATAATAGCAATAGTAGCGTCCTTAGCAGGCTTCAGGTACCATGCCCTTGAAATTATTAGGAGTGAGGGGGGTTCATCACTCCATCAGACCGTAGACCCAGCCTGACATGACTCTATTACACTCCCTCTGAAAGTATCAATTTTGTTCAGGCTGCTCACAGGATTGGAGATCCACGCAGGAAGAGGAAAACATGATCTACTTTGTTATTGTTTAAAATTTTTTCACATACCTATCCTGCCGGCAACAGCTTAGCTCAGGAGGAAGAAGCAATTTCCTGACTGCCCTTGAAAGGATGGTGCTCCAGTTACCAAACTTCAGATGCGTACACTACAGCAGCCACTTCCCACACAGTAAGTTTGGCAGTCTCAATATTTCTGTTAATATAACCCTTAGGATGCACCACAGGAGTTTTACATTTCCCATCTAAACACCCAACTTAAATCGGGACATTTAAACACCAAAGGTACTGATTTCAGTAGGATCTACACGGCTTCCCACACCTGCTCCTTTGGCTTTAAGTCCTTTTCCATTGTGCGACTCTATTCCAGTAATAGTTGGTGCAAGCACTGCTCTAGTTTGGTGACTCTGCAATGGAACGGTCTCCTCCCTCCCGGGAGAGAAAATGCAGAGATTTGCCCACATCTCCCTCTTCCACCCTCAGAGATGAGCACTGCCTCAGAGCCTGCCCACAGGACCGGGGGTCTCTGGGTGCCCACGCTGTGATCCAGGCCTTTCTGGCCGTTTCACTGCCTAGACTCAGTGTGCAAAGCCAGACCCGGGTGGACTCTCACTAAAACCCAGGAGCCCCTCGGGTGGAAGGCAGGCTGAGGGGAGCCCCGCGGTGAATTCTGATTCTTGGGGCTCCTTGTCAGGGCAGAGACCACCCGGCTTTAAGCTCCCCTGGGCTGAGCTCCCAGCCCTCCGCCCCCCTCACGCCTACCCGCAGCCAACAGCAGCCCCACGCCCCTCGGGTGGGCAGAGCTGCTCTCCCCTCTCCTTCTCCGAGCCAGCCGCTGGCACCGGAGAACAGGGACCCCCACCGCCCGCGGGACCGACGGGCACCTGCGGCTGAGGGAGGCGCCGGCCTCCGTTGGCGGGAAGGCTAACCTCCGCCCCCTCCCCGCCCCTGGTTACGAACCAGCCAATAGCTAGCGCAGAAAGGTGAAATTCATATGCGCGACCCAATGGCGCACGGCCGGGCGCATGCCGCCCGGCGCCGATTGGCAGAGCGGACGATCTCGACGCGGAGGCACCCAATGGCGCCGCGAGGAAGCCACGCCCCCAAGAGAGGCATAGCCAATGAGCAAGGCGCGGGTAGTCAACAGCCCCGGCCCCACCCCCGCCCCCCCTCCCTATATAAGCAGGGCCCGGGAAGAGCGGCCGCTTTTGCGGTGCTGCTCAGACCCGTTGCGCGTCTGCCGCCCCCGTCGCTGCCCGCTGCCGGCCCGAGCCATGGTGAGCGGGGCTTCCGGGGGGAGGGGGGGGCTCGGGGCTCCCGGCGCCGCTCCGCACGCTGAGGCGGTGCAGGGGGGGCGGGGCGGCCCCGCCCGCGCACGGCGGGAGGCGCGGGTCCGCCCCGGCTCGCTGTCCCGCCGTGAGGGAGCGGGAGGCAGAGGGACTGCGGTCGCCGGCGGTCCCCGCTCCGCTCCGGCGGCCCTTCGTGCTGCCTCGTCCCAAAATGGTGGCGGCTCCGCCGAGAACATGGCGGCGGGACCCTCAGCCCTCGACCGCCTGTGAGGTGGCGTTTCCCTCGGAGGTGACCGGCCTGGGGTCTCGGCAGCAGCGGGGAGCCTGGGGCGGCCGCTCCGCCTTGGACGCAGTCAGCCCCCGGGGACCCCTGTGCCCCCGCAGCGGGACGTGGCGGGGCGTCCAGCCCGCACAGGGGGTGAGGGTGAGCTGCTGGGGTGCTCTCAGGGTTACATGCTGAATATAAAAATTGTGGGGGAATATCCCTGGTGTGTGTGTGACCTGGAGTGCCAGGGGAGGCCATGGCACTGGGTGTTTCTGGAGGTGCAGCTTGTTGCTTCTCTCCTCCTTGCCTCTGCCCGGAGCCAGGTGCCAGCTGTGAAGTGGGTTTGGGACAGGGAAAGGGCTAATGGTGGAGATTTCTTGAAGGAAGTTGTGGGACTGGCTGGGTAATAAAGCTGAGGTGAAATGACCTTGTAAGATAGGAGTCAGCCTTGAAGGCATATCCGAAAGGTATGATAAAGGGCTGGGACATCATAAAGAGAGCAGAGTTCAGCTGCTGAGCTGTGAAACACGAGTGGAAGCTGTCAGTTGGAATCTGGGATAAGCATAAGGTCCTCCTCCATGTGGACATTCTCCCTGTGAATCTCTCTTTGAAAAGAGGTTGTGGATGTCAAGGTTACATGGATTTAAAAAAATGTAGCAGACTGCATCTGTGGGGTTGTGAAGGCATAGGAAATATCTGTTGAAGTGAAAACAGCTAGAGGTTGAGAGAATACTGGGGAGATGTGTTGATGTCCTTATCTTGTTCTTACCCTTCTATGGAGGCTGTTTATGGTCACATTGTTTTAAATGAAGCTGAATCAAAAGTCTGATTGCAGTTCCTCACCTCTGCAAAAGATGCAGTTTTCCTTGAATTTCATCCTGTTGAATTTGGTCTGAGCCGGTACAGCCATTCTCATGAAATGTGGCTTTCCATCAACTTCACACAGTCAAAACAGTACCTTAAATACTGTGCTGGAGAGTGCAAGGGACCTAGAGGATGATCCACCAGCATGGTTGGAGGGATCTGGGCTTCTTCAGCCTGGCAGAGTACAGCAAGAGGCTATGTAGTAGAAGCCTACACCTACTGAAAGGGCAGTTACAGAATACAAGCCAGCACTCTTAAACAAGAGCATATGTAGCAAAAGGAGACAGAGGTAATAGAGAGTGGAGAGGTTCAGGTTGAGCTGGGAAAAGTTTCTGGGAGTTTTCAGTGAAAGTGGTTCTATGCGTGAAAATACTGTAAATGGGGGAGACTATTTAGTGTTAAATAAGGATTCTGTGTCCTGACTTGTGACTTAAATACAGCACTTAACAGTACTGTCTGTAGTACATATTTAAAACCTTAACTATGGAGCTTCTGTCAGTGATGTGTAAAGGCCCAGAATTGTAATGAGTGTGATAGTTGTCTCTTGCCTGTTTTATAACTTTGAGATTACACTTTCAAGGCTCAGGTTTTGTTCTGTCCTTTAGTATTCTTTGTACTGTAAGACTTTTGCTGCTGTGAAAAGGCTATGCAGGGCAAAATAGACAGAGTCTCATAGAGTCTAACAAAGATTTATTTCATTAAATAGCCACCTACTACTTAAAAGTACTTGATAGTGTTGTGGCAAGGCAGTTGAAAGAGTCCTCAAAGCAGGACTAGCAGTAGCACCAGGCCAGGTTTTTGTGACTGATGTTGTCTTGCCAAGTTTTGCAGACTTCCAGGGATGGAGATCCCTTACCCCTCTCATGACCTGTTCCAGGACTGCACTGCTTTGCTGGGGAAGCTTTTTCTAGTGCTCAACCCGAATCTTCCACCATCCTCCTAACAGGTGTCCTGAACCCTCCTGCAGAGGAGAAGGAAGGCTTCTTGGTGTGTTGGCTGTGTGTCTCCTTTTGTAGCCTGGCACGTTGTTTGCCTTACTGAGGATGGGAATGCCCTGTTGAACATTCAGGATGGTTTCTGTGGTAACCCCAGGTTTTTTTCAGCAGGTCTGCTTCTCATTTAATGGCTTCTTTGTACTGATGCAGGGAGTTACTCTGCCCTCAGTGCTGAACTTTTTACTTTGTCAAAGTAAACATTCCATGCTTTTAACATGGCACCTGTAGGACCCAGTCTGTGGCTGTGTTGCACAAGCTGTACTTTAAAAGACTTAAATTTTGTCTTTGGAATGTGAATGATTGTTATTGCTTTGTGTAGTATGAAGTAGCTGTGCTAGTTCATTTGATGCTGGAAAGCTCATTTATAGTCTGATGTCTTCCATGCATTCATCTTGCTTGGGCATGCTAGTCCCTACACACTTACTTTCAGTGACCTTCCCTAGCTGCTTAGGAGCTTCACTAATAAAGCTTGGATTGCTACAGGTGAGGATCCAGACTGAAGTGCTGATGTATTTCTACTTTGTTTTCTCACTGTAGAAAGGAGTTGCTAGCTGTCCTCCTGCTTTCCTGAAAAGATGATGTGGCCCAATTCATTGTGGACTAGGCAGTTCAAGGCCCTGCTTATCCTGAAATTTCAGGGGACAAATTAATTCTATTAAACAACCGTAGGGTCTAAATATAGTTAAATGACTTACTCAAAACTGTCTGTATGCAGGTTCTTTTAGCATGTGTCTAACTGTCACTCAAAACCAGAAGCTAAATATAAAAAGCCACACATGGACCAGGAGTTTGGAAATGGTTCCATTGTGGTTTGGCTTTTAATATTAAAAACACTGTACTGAAATACTAAGGAAGCTGGGTTTATGCTCTGTACATCAAAGGCAACTTGGGAATCCATAAATTGGTATGGATGGATTCTTTTGCTGACATAAACTATTTTCTACCTAGTTTAAATGAGGTAGTTTCTTCTAATGTTAGGAGTTTAGTCTTTGCATCCAGCAGTGTGATGTGAGGCCGGATGTTCCATATTTAGAAAGTGATACTAAGGGCTTTATTAGGCAAAGACTTTCTTACAGAATGGTAAAGTACCATAAAGTGTTCAGGGAGAATATTTTTCTATTTTATGTATATTAAATAAAATGACCCTAGATTGTGCAGAAGGTTTTGCTCCCTCTGGTGGCTGGAGTTCTAGGGGTGAAGTTTTCCTAGGTACTTAGGCCAGTGACACAGTCATCAATTTTTCTAAATATTCAGTGTTTGTTGTGAAGAGAAATTGACTGAAGGATTTGGGAGAGTTGATCAAACTCTTCCTGTCTGGTTAAGGATAGGAATAACAAGGAGGAATGAGTCTGCAAAAATGACAATGTCTAAAAGGGTCTTTCTAGGTAGAAGTATATGATGACTGAAAGAAGCTTTTGTGCTCTGTTGTATTTTGTGCCAAATGCCCCTAACACCTAGACAATAAGGCCAATGTTTTAATAGCTTTGCAATATGGGAGTTCAAGCTGTGTGTGCTGAATGTTTTCTAAACAAGGAAATTGCTGTTTCTGCTGAGTGATCCAATTTTTTTCTCCACACAGCGTGAGTGCATCTCAGTCCATGTTGGTCAAGCTGGTGTGCAGATTGGCAATGCGTGCTGGGAGCTGTACTGCCTGGAGCATGGCATCCAGCCCAATGGGACCATGCCGAGCGATAAAACTGTCGGTGGAGGTGATGATTCCTTTAACACGTTCTTCAGTGAGACCAGTGCCGGAAAACATGTGCCTCGTGCTGTGTTTGTGGACCTTGAACCAGCAGTAATAGGTAAATACATTTCTCTAGTTGTGCAAAATGTTTTGGGGCTTTAAATTTTTACTACGTAAGGCTTGTCTACATCTTCCTAGTGATGGATAATACTTGGCTTTACATTCATTGAGACTGGCAAATGTGCGCTCTGGAGCTCTAAAGAACTTAAATGTTACCTTCTGCCAGCCTGTGGAATTAAATGGGTTTTCTGAACATGCCTCATGCTTTTGCTATGCAAGGAACTAGTTGCAACCTCTTGAAACAATATGGCATAATGTGTACAGCAGTCAATAGGAACCTTTTTAAAAGATGTGATACTTAACATTAAGCAGATTTCTTCTTGTACATTGGAATGATTCCTGTGCTTTCCCAGAACAGTCTTCTACTCTCTGTAGCTTGAATAGTGCTTGCAGAAATGAGTCTCAATTGCTAGCCGAAATTAAGGGACTTCTAAACATGCAGTTTAACTTCCTGCTGTCTTATCTTTGAATCACATTCCACTCATCCTGAAAATCAGCTGTAATCCCAAGATCTGGCAACACTGTCTTAGTGTTCAGATGTGATCCCATGCATCAGCCACTGACTGATGCCACAGAATGTGGCATTAGCTACACTGCCAGCCCAATCTGAGCTCCTCAGTTTCACAAGATCCTTGTTCCTTGTCATGAATCTTGGTTTTGCTCTCAGCAATGTGTGTGCCTGAAGTCATTCTACTGGAGCTGGTTTTGTGTTTGTCTTGCCTTAAGTAGTGATTTGGGGCTCTTGTAGAAGAGGGAAGTCTGTGTTGCCTGTGCTTGTGCAGTTGCAGTTTTTATCTTTCTGGAATAATTGGGGAAGTATTGTAGAAAGTTGGGAGAGAATTGGGGAAGGGAGAGATGAGAGGTTTAGGCTACTCTTATATACGCAAACTGTGGGTGTCTAACTTTCACTGTAACACCCCAAACCACTTTCCGTGGCAGCTAATACAGTAGAATGAACTTCTGCAGGAGAGCAGAAGGCTGCAGAGCAGGTCAAGGATGAGTGTGCTGGACTGATAACTTTGAAATGAGCCAAAGCACCCTTGACCATACACTAATATTCCCAGGAGCTGTTGCAGGTCTGGCTTTATGTTTTCTTGAGCCCTGTTGCTTCCTCTGCTGCTGGCCAGGTGGTGGCTCTAAGCAACCAGAAAAGGATGAGAAATTAGGTGAGGGAGAGCAGGTGGCAAAGCTCTCACCTTGCCTCTGGGAGTGAGTAGCCTTTGAGTCTTGGGACAAATGGTTACAGCTATTGTTCCAGCACTTGTTAATGATGCAAGTGTAGTATGGGGAGATGGGTGAAAGGCTGTCTCATGAAATACTTTGTAATACTAAGAAAGTTAGGGCTTTTTGTTAAATGTTACATCATGTGCCTTTCTGGGGACAAGCCTTCTTTCTTTATTCCTGCTCTGCTTATTTGAAAATTATTGATTCAGTTTGCTGGGTGGGGCTAGTGTGATTCTTCCCATTCATGCAGTGTGTCCCTCTGCACTGTGTTCAGGAAAAAAAGCATCTATTGTGACAGCAGCTCTGTAGCTGCCATGTGTGTACACCAGGGATTTCTGGAGCTTCCAGATCAGTGCTGCTGTTAGTGGAAGCAGCAGACCTGCTGTACATGTACATGAGCTCTGTGGATGTGGTGGTAAAATACCATCAAACTTTATACCAGGTAATGGGGTAGTAATGCCTGGGAATTCAACAGAAGTATTTTGAAAATAGACTTAAAAACATGACTCACAGCATGGCTGGGGAAAGCCAAAACTAAATTCCTTATTCTAGCACACTTGTCCAATGACTGATCCTCTTAACTCTTCAAGTTTTGTTACTTCCCTGGGACCATCTTGACTCATGTTGCCCCTACCAGCTATCTTTAGGTTCTATATTTTTCCCTTTCACCCATATTTCTTCTTTATAACTTGGAGTGGTAATGCAGAAAGTCCTTGAAATACATGTATTTTGAATGGTAGACTTCTTCAGATTGTTTTTTAGTGCAGTGTGGAAGTACTTTAGAGTATTGGATTGGAAGCTGCAATGGTAGCTGGTCAGTCTAAATTGGTTGAAATAGTACCTGTATTTTTAAATTGTGAATTCTACTTATCTTTGTCTTGCTCATTCTTTTTCAGATTAAAAAGAATGTATTCAAACAGGCAACTTCATCTGTAGTTAATAACACTTTGCTTTCTACTTGATTTTAATTAAAGGATGCAATACTGCATTAGCATACAACTCAAGAATGGCTTTTGCTAAACCAGAGACAAAGCTATGCTGAGTGTCTTTGTACCTTTGTGGTAGGACAGCTTTAGCCTGCCAGATGTAAGTGCATATTTCTGATAACTAGTGGTGATCGTAACTAAATCATTCTTCAAATCTGTAACTGGTGGGGGATGCTGTGTGTTCATTGGCGTAGTGTCTTTATAACACAGCCATTCATGCTGGAGCTTGCAGCTCAGCATTTAAATAACTGAATAGCTCTACAAGAGCATCTCCTGTTCCTTTTGGATGTTTTTCTCTACCCTTGACATAAAGTACAATTACGGGAAGAGGGGGATGAGCAAGCAGTGTAGGCTCTGACTGCCCACAGCTGCAGAAGCAACAAGGCAACATCCTGGATGGCTTGAAAAATAAGAGGGAGAAAGCAGTATTTCAGATGCTGATCTGCAAAGTGGGCTTTCAGTTTTCTTAAACTGGAAGAATGATTCTGCTGCTACAGTCCAGTTTTACATTGCTCTGGCAGGTCAAAAAAATTAAACTTGTGTAAAATGTGGCAGTTTTAGTAACTTAATTTTTAAGTATTCAACATTTAGACTGTACTAAGTATTGTCACCTACTGATAGGTAGAAACCAAGCTACTTTTAATCTCTAAGGGCTTAGGTATCTTATTCTGGACACCATCAGAAATTTGATAAACCTGGTCTATATAGAAGATTAATTTACAAATAATGTTCATCTTATCTCTCTAGATGAAGTTAGGAATGGGACATACAAGCAACTCTTTCATCCCGAACAACTGATATCTGGTAAAGAAGATGCTGCAAATAACTATGCTCGAGGTCATTACACAGTTGGGAAAGAGATAATTGATCTAGTTCTAGAGCGTATCAGGAAACTGGTAAGGCTTTTATTCACTAAAGGCTCTTCAACATCTTTATCCTGTTTTACAGGATTTGGAAGTTAGGTTATCAAAAATACATAGCTCTATAAATTGTGCTTTACTTTATTACATGGTAGAAGGATCTGTAGACTTATATCTGCATCTGTTTTTATTCTTAGCCACTTCAGAATGGTTGGATTATTCCTGTCAGATATGACTTTAAAGCAGCCTAACATGCTGATGAGGTGCCTGAAACTTTATAGTTTCACATTCAACTTCAGAAAGCCAGGACTGAGAATTAAGATTTGCATATTGTGCTAGAAAAGGATTGGTCTCTGGCTGAGGCTCTTGCAAGGAAGTTTACATAGGAGTGTTTGCTTCTGTGGTTTAGACTTTTGTCTACATTTCCTGCTGTTACAATTTCTGAATTTTATGGTAGTAACAGTAGGAAAGGAATTAGTCTCAGTAAGTTGAGATGTTTTGGGCTCTCTAGTGCTTTGATCATGTGGCAAATTTATGAATATATCAGCTTAGGAGGCTAGAGTTCCCTTTTTAGGGCTGCTAAGCATGTACTTTACTGAATCTGTGTCACAAAAGTAAAGAATTCCCATTGCACAGAAAATCCAGGATATACTTACAGTGCTTTAATGTGGAATGCTAAATGAATCTTACTGAAAAGCACACCTTTTGCAGATCAAAACTGGTATTATTCTCAACACTTTGCCACCATCTTTAAAGCTAAGATAAGTTTGCAGCAGGCACCACTTTGATCTGAAAAACATGGTTGTAATTTCTTTTTACAAGCTGTTGAAGTCCCTGTCAGTCCTGGGAATCAAGCTAAGCATGTGGCATTTCTTCCTGAGGACAAGGCAGTCTAGTTTCTTCATCTGAGAAGACTAAACTGAAATGGCCATGTAATACATTTTGACAGCTCCCGTCTCTGAACTGAGTTACATGCTTTCAGCTATTGCAGGATTATAGTAATAGTTCTGGGACAGGGGATTACTCCATTTTTGTGCAGACAGAATGTCAAATCGGTATAAGGGATAGATAGTCTGTAGTGCTTTCAATGTTACTGCTTTTCTTGGTCATTAATGACTTTGGCCTGAGAATTGGTGGTAGGGGAAGTTTAGAGGTAGTAATTTGAAGTGGAGAGGGCACCCTCCAATATGTAGGGGGCTTAAAATAGCCAGGAATACAGTGGTTTTTATAGGGCACCTCCTTGATTGTTGGTAGATGAATCAAATTCAGTATTACTTTCCTGAAGCCTGAACAGTTGGTATGTCTCAGAATTCAGAGCTGTCTGTCTTGAGCTTGTTTTTGTTTCTTAATGTCTACACAATTGCTTTAACACATGTATTTTCTCTTTCAGTCTGATCAATGCACTGGCTTGCAGGGTTTCCTGATTTTCCACAGTTTTGGGGGAGGCACTGGCTCAGGTTTTACTTCTCTGCTGATGGAGCGCCTGTCAGTTGACTATGGGAAAAAATCAAAATTGGAATTTGCCATCTACCCTGCACCACAGGTCTCAACAGCTGTTGTTGAGCCATACAACTCCATCCTGACTACCCACACGACTCTGGAGCATTCCGACTGTGCCTTTATGGTTGACAATGAGGCCATCTATGACATTTGCCGTAGGAATCTGGACATTGAACGCCCGACCTACACCAATCTCAATCGCCTCATTGGTCAGATAGTCTCTTCCATTACTGCTTCCCTCAGATTTGATGGTGCCTTAAATGTGGATCTTACTGAATTTCAAACTAACTTGGTGCCTTACCCTCGTATCCACTTTCCATTGGTAACATATTCCCCAATTATTTCAGCAGAGAAAGCCTATCACGAGCAGCTCTCTGTGTCCGAGATAACCAATGCTTGCTTTGAGCCATCTAATCAGATGGTGAAGTGTGACCCTCGCCATGGCAAGTACATGGCCTGTTGTATGCTGTATCGTGGGGATGTTGTCCCCAAGGATGTCAACGCTGCTATTGCTGCTATCAAAACCAAGCGCACAATCCAATTTGTAGACTGGTGCCCAACTGGTTTTAAGGCAAGTCTCCGTTACATCGTGATTTTTTTTTTTTTACAAACTTTTTTCACTGTCATGGGTTTATGAAGTATATTTTCTCATTAAGATGTCATGTAGGTACCTGATTTGTATTTTGAGGAATGGAGACTTAGATTCTTATACAGAGCTGTTTTCTTGGGAGTGAAACATTTTATTCAACTGCTGTCTGACTTGTTTGATTATGGTCACTGTAAAATGCCACAAAGAAACTCATGGTCTCTTCTGCTTTTCGTGTAGGTTGGCATCAATTACCAGCCACCAACAGTGGTTCCTGGTGGTGACCTAGCCAAAGTCCAGCGGGCAGTGTGCATGCTGAGCAACACTACAGCCATTGCTGAGGCATGGGCTCGTCTAGACCACAAGTTTGATCTGATGTATGCCAAACGTGCCTTTGTTCACTGGTATGTTGGAGAAGGAATGGAGGAGGGGGAGTTCTCAGAGGCTCGGGAAGATTTGGCTGCACTTGAGAAAGATTATGAAGAAGTGGGCACAGACTCGGTGGATGGAGAAGATGAAGGTGAAGAATATTAAATACAAGCGAATTGCAAGTCTTCGCTGTTTTACTGCATCTTCAGTAGCAGTGTAAATCATGTCAAATAATCGGAATAAACTTCTTTAATCAAGACATTTGGTAGTGTCCAAGCACTATGTACATTCATTAACTATATGCAAGTATCTTTCTTTGAGAAAGATAGCATGATCACTTTATTCAGCTACAGTTAGACGAGTTCTTGTCCTTAAGATGTTGCTGTTTGAAGAGCTGGTAGTGCATATATTCCCCCAGAATATAAGACTAGAATGTGCTTGAACTTTTTCTGGAAGGTTAATTAGCTACACTTTTTCAAGACTCTAAAGCTGGTGTCACAAGAGGCAACAGGAACACTAACCTTGTCTCGCCCTTAAGAAAAGATTCAACACCCTTAAAACCAAAGGCTATTTGAGTTAGTTTTCTCCTATTCTTGGACTTAGCATGGGCCAGTAACTTAGAGATGCAGTAACCTGGAAGGGGAAGAAATGACCAGAAAGGGTGTGCCATATCGTGAGGAACCTGTCACTTCTCTGCCAGAATATGTGTGGTTGTTGCCCTGCTGTTGCTTTGCCCTCCCACAAAAGGAACTGTAGTCCCTGTCTGCTAGATTTCTGTGGAGTTTACGTTTTGGCTGAAGCTGTCTGGAGCGAAGTCTCTGGATTAGCTGGCCAGGGTTAAACACCAGTTTTCCCTGAAACTAGTTCTTTTGCAGAAGTAGTCCATGGGTTCAGATAGGAAACTTACAGGCTTTCTGCCTTCCATGTAAGCTGATGTAGCAGGAAAGGATTTAGCTGATCAGGTGACCTTCAGATGTGGACAGCCTGTGTCTGAAACCTTCTATGTGGTCTGAGTGGGGCCTTGGGGACATAAGGCAGTGATTCATGAACCACAACCTGACTATTTCTAACTCTGTCTTGGAGCTGGCTGACTGAGGAATCTTCCCCATAGGAGTAGTGAAGGTGGAATAGTAAACATGTTTAGGTGATGTTTGAACACTGAATGCGATTAAGATACCAAAGTGACTCTGTGACACTATTTGAGCTGGATAATTCCTCCCTGGCCTATTTCAACCTTACTTATATTCCTTCTGATTTAATAGCAGAGCATGAGTCAGGACAAGCCTTGAAGCCTGTGTTAGCTGATGAAGTTGCACATACCTGCTTAGCAGGAGTCTTTAGCTGTTGTATGAAAAATGCCTTAACTTCCTTTTGTGTGGAAACCTACTGTACTCAGGTAATGCTGCAGTATTTGACATCAGCTCCTAAAGTGGGAACTCTTCCCTAACCTAAGTTAAAACTGACTTGGGTTTACTAGTTCTTTTAGATGGGGGTGTCACTTTTACATTAACAGGCTGCTGCTGTAGATTACCAGAATAGCCTGGTCTGCAAGTACTGACCAGTAATTTGTTTAGGCTGAAAACCTGCTGTCCTGAATGCCTGTGTGTGTGTTCTTGCAGTCATAGAGGTTGAGTCAATCTGAAATTAATTTACTGGAGATGGAAGTTACCAATTTTATATAGATGGGGAGTACAATCTTAAGGCTTTATAACCTAGGTGAGTGCCTCAGACTGTCTTGTCAGCGATGGTCTTGTGCAGAATATACAGATGCTCTGTAAATCATACCACCTGCTGTTCAGCATAGCTGAGCATGTCTGAAGCTTCAGTGAGTTTCTCATTTGCTTTTGCTTGTCCTTATGTTCCAGGGTAGACATAAGTGTAGAGAATTTCAAGTCCTGTTGACTAACTTATTTTCCTACTTACTGGATGATTAAGCAAATGTGCTAGGCATAACCCAAGAGACAGTCACATTCATTGCAAGTCAGATCAACTTCATTTCAGCACATGCATTCAGATTTTTAATGTAATGGCAGTGCCCACACGAGCAATATGCAAAGGACTGCTTCATGCCTTGCAGATGTCTAGATCTTTGTTGTGAAATCTTGTTCTACTAGCAGATCTTGAAGAATGCTGGGTGGCCACAAGTGCCAGCACCATAATTTCCTTTGGGTGTATAATCGGGAAGGATTGTGTAGGAATGGATTTCTGAACTGGCATTCAGTGTGATCTTTTAGCAATGATTTGGCTCTTTTATCTGGAATTCTTCATTATTTGAGACTGGCATGCTCCATTTCCTGCTCATACTGTCTTTTTAATGTACATGTGTGTTACCCTTATTTGGGACATTGCTGCTTATGTGATGGGAATTGGTTTGCAGTGTGTCAGTGTTTTATCTGGGCATGTACAATGATGAGTCTGTGTAGGGCACAGCACTCTAGCATCCTCGTAAAAGGCTTGTGCATGCTGAATGCTGAGCTCTTTGGAAAACCTGGATTGACTAGGGAATCTCACTCAATGTAGGCATTAGATTTGAGATGTATTATGCTTTAAATGTTTAAAAATATTGTAAAAAAAGAGCTACTTTGAGAAGATGGTAAGCTGAAACAGCATCCACTGGTGGAAGGTTTGACAAGAGATGCTATGTCACTTGTTAGCCATTGGGCTGATGCTGAAAATACCTTATACATTCTCAGCCTACATCATACTTAAAACATCATACTTAAATTTTCTTTCTATTAGTATTAAGAAACACTTGCATTAGCTAGTGGGCTGTTGGCTCTCAGCATCTGCATACTGAGCTAAGATAGTGTTTCAGTTATGAAGCCAAGATAATTACAGCAGGAAAATCCTGCTAAAACTGCTCTTGCTTCATCTAGCTGCATAAATACTTAAACATGTTATAATTACTAGCTGTATGGTTGAATTAACTAATGGGCGGTTCATCAGTTTCCTGAAATGTAGAGGAGATCCTACACTGAATTAAAATTTGATGTACCTGAAACTTGCATAGGTTAAAATTAACTGTTGCTTAAAAGAAAATGCTTTCTTTACATTCTGAAAGCCTTTCTTTAATTCTAAACTTCAAATGCCTGTTTTCTTTGTTAAGAAATCCCCATAGTTCTGCCTTGAAAAGTCATGTGCCTATTTGTACTGGCAGAAATGCAAGCATTATCTAGTGGTAACTAAATATATCTTTACCTGTGTGGTGACACAGCTTTATCCAGTATGTGATTGGCAATTAATAGCTATCACCTGATACAGAATAACTTCTGTGACTCATTAACTGGAGGAGGAGGAAGTGAGCTGAAGCCCCATGTTGTATTGGTATGAACTTTGTTGTGAATTGCTGGTCTTATCTGTAATATCTGTTCTAAAATGGTTCTTGTGCCATTCTAGGGGAATGTAGTGCAGCAGAATCTGATTTTCACCCATTCCGCCCTCTGAATAAGCAATATGAATACCTTTTAATGTATTAATGTCTATATTATATATACTATAGACATTTCTATAGTAAGCATGCCGCAGTGTAATTGTATGATTAAAATATCTTTTTTAGCTTTATGGACAGTACAGGTAACACAAGCATACAACTGCACATGCTGCTGCCTTCCAACAGTGCAAACTTTTTGCAAATAAAATTCAGAAAGGACTTTTGTGCCTCATACTTCAAAGCAGCCTGTCAGGCAGATAACATTCAACCCAGCAGCTTGCTGCAGAAAACCATGAGCTTGTTTAGGAGACTTAGAATTGGTATGAGATTTTAATTAAAAGTAAGTAAAGAAACAGGGTGACTCCATTACTCTGGTGGAAAATGTAGATTGCTTTTGGCAGTGTTTTAGGAGAACACAAAGCATTATCTAAAAAAATGGATAATATGACATGGTAGTAAAGATTCTCTGGCTTTACTTTCTTCCTTTCTCCACAGCGTAAGAGTCAGAACGATGTCTCACGGGCAGTTCAGAATGACTTCTGAAAAGTTTGAGGAACTAGTACAAAAGCTAAGGGAATAGCAGTGTAAAACCCTTACTTTGCCAATATGCTGCTGTAAATGGGCACATAGCTTTTGACTGCCTTGTCCCAAGGATTGCCTTGTCCCAAACCTTCATTCTTGTTAGGCCTTCCGTTGACATGCATTTTCCACTCTGGCAAAGTCTCTTAAGACAAGCAAGAAAGTTATCGCTGTGCTTTTCATTCAAGTCTGCATGAATGTTAAGTGGAGATCTTGACATCCAAAATACAGTGCTGCTAATGTGCTACCCCATGCCATTCTCTGTTTTTAAATGCCTCTATTTCTGCCAAATAAAGGTTTATTTTGCACAAGGTCATGTTTTCCTTTATGTAGGAGATGATTCACAGAAGCAAAACTGCAGTTGTCTCTATAATGCAGAGCTATTTCTAGTGTAATGGGATGGCTTTTTCACTTTCCTTGCTGAAGTATTGTAACAACCTAAGATTCAAATTATTTTGTAGATTTTTTCAGTCAATGCATTTGTGCCTTTGAATTTACATTTTGTACAAGCCTTAAAGTTTGGGAAGAAAAATCAGCCAGGGTACTAATTGTAGAGAAACCATGTCTTGTATAGCAACTGTGAATAACCAAAGGTTGTGAAAGTACAGAGGGAGTATAATTGAGGCTCCTGTCAAGAATAAGATACTGAATTAGGTGACTCCTGATCTTACCAGTTCTTATGTCATGTTTATAAGGAATTACTTCAAAGGAAATGTTTTTTATTTGAATTCTGAAAACAGGGACTGGGCTTAAACAAATTTAGCAGTAAAGAGCTGAAGAACAATTTTCCCTCATATGGCAGAACTCCACTGGAAATGCTGTAGGGAGTTTCTGTGTGTATTGGCAAGGTGATAATGATTAATCCCTCTATCTTGGTCTGAACTAGAGGGAGGACTAACTATGTAACTTCCAGACTGTGCAAAGACTTTGATCTATAGTTTTCTTCTAAAAGTTGGGCAAGAGGATTAAAGATTGGTAGTCTCAACTGGCTATTAATGGAGAGGAGGAATGAGAGTGTGATGAAGTGGGAGAAATTGCATTGCTCTGAATGTATTGTAGGTGCTGGATGACAAGAGGCTGAGAAATAGCAGGAGACTAAATAAAAGCAAAACAAAAAAAGGGTAAGAGTTGCATGCAGAGTGGTGCCTTTCAGTGAACTGAGTTAGTTAAAAAAAAAAGTCTCTTCATCTTTCTGATGCTATGTGTCTGTTCATTGGCTTTCTGAAAACTATTTTTCTTGTCCAGCTTCATG